TGGATAGGAACACATACACCATTAAATCTAAGTGGTAAGGTTTCTCTCTAATTCATGAAAATGATTGTGAGGAAACGCTTTCACTAAGTAGATTTTAAAGAGTTAGCAATTGTGATATTTGCATTCTTAAATTCGATTATGATTACGACATCCCTCTTCATAGTTCGAATTGTGAGAAATGGAAAATAGTTTGAACGTTCGGGACTTACTGCCGTAAGTTCTGAAATAGTTTAGACACACATATGAGCTTTCTAATAAAAGGTGTATGAGCTTAGATAAAGGCTTATCGAAGCATCTCGTATCAGAAATCGGAACTTTGGTAAGAAAGTCAATAAAGTATTGATTTCTAGTAGTCCAGCTGATTTTGGATACATGTCAAAGCTAGTGGGAGCATAAATGTTATGCTAGTAACAAAATAATTGTTATGCTATTGGGAGCATAATTATTATGGTAGGTGTTGCGAGTTAGCAATACTATTTATAGGAAATAAAGTTCTAATTTGGAAAGTTGCAAAAGGTTGAAAAGTTGTTTCGCTATAGTAAGGGAGAGGATACTTATACTTTATTTCGAATCTAAAAGTTTAGATTGAAGTATTAATCAAACTTAGTCATGGATATATATGAATACCATGTTGAAATATTTCAACATTGGAAATTCTATATATGGAAATATTATAGCAAAATACTGGTCAAGTATCATGTCTTTATGTAAGACATTATGAATCGTGTCTCATATGATTCGGATATAGGATCGATTGCATATGCTATAATATTCATGTGTTCTAATTTTCCAAATGCCTAGGGCAGTACGAGGGAAAAAGGACTAGAACCGGATATGACTGAAGTGGTTAAACAACTGTCAAGGACAATCTAAGGTTCGCTGAGGATTGGTTGCTTAAGGACAGTTGGAAGTATAGTAATGGATGGACCATATTGAAATTATTATGAATAGACAAAATTCTATTAATAATGCATTGTCATATGGCAAATATGTAAATGTTTTCATAATGGGAGTTGGATATTAAGAATCTATGTGTAGATTAGAAACTTTTATGCAAGAAGGATGTTCAAAGGAATGTACTTTGAATTTGAGACTTCTCTTCCTTGGAATTGTTTTGTTATCAATCTCCAGTGGAAATTTTTGTAATATCGTTGGCAAAGTCTCTGTGACTTTGGTACCTCGACATTACAAAATGTACATTGCATGATAGTTTAGAATCTAACACATTCTTATAGTGGAAAGAATTTGGTATTATTACATTTACGATAAGGATTTGGAATTGAGAAATGAGCATCATTGGAAATGTTTTCAACTGATCTATTTCACAAAGTAAGGACCATATATAAAAATAGTGTGCATGCTTGAAGCATGGGATAACTATTGTTTTAATTCAAGTATTAAGTTGATTAGCCGAAACATTATACAATGAATAATGTGTAATCAATATAGTGATTAAATAAAAGGTGTTTTATTTATATTCAAAAGTTTTGAGACCATATTGGATTCAATTATTCTTGTGTTTCATTTTGCATGTTTTGGCTTCCCGAATAATAAGATTATTCAAACTATCCACAGTCGATCATACTTTGGAAGTAGGTATTGAGGTAAGACTGTCATGAATACGACTGTAGATTGTCTAAGGTGTTTAGATATGGCACAAGTTTGTTGCAGTGTTCATGAGTACTCCTGTAATAAGATTTGAGTATTGGATCAAACCCACGCTCATTTGAATCACTTCATGGATTTTATCACGGGTGATTATGAGACGATAATATCTTATATTCTTGAAACCAAGACATGTGAGTTGTAGTTTACAAGTCGGTTGCATATTTATGATATGAAAACGCACCAGTAACTTGGTGTTATAAAACGTATTGTTGTGTGTGATTTGATGAGTAAATAGAGCAAGCATATGAGTCGAACTTTATCCGTTCCTTTTACCCTAAGAGGGATAAAAGCGATATCTGTGGGCCCCTCGATGATTTAGTGATGACACCCTAAGCGCTTGGCCAAGCCTGAACTGATTTGATTTGTTCAATTAGTCAGTCGTCATACATCGGAAATCGGGAAACAACATATGAACAGAGAGAATGATTATAATCCATGTCTCAGTTCATACGATATCTTGTAGAACGGAGGAATATATGATCCCTTATCTAACGGACGCGTCATTGATTTGTTTAGAGTTCGACAACGGCTTTTGAAAGCTACGATTGCTATTCGGCTCTTCAAGTCGTACTTGAAGTTATAGTTATTAGACTTATCCAAGTGGGAGACTGTTGGATTAGGTGTCTAAGCCCATAACTATAATTGGTATGTACTTGACCCGAGAGTAGCATGGTCCATTTCGAATTACCTTCATCAGGACAATTTGATAGGATGGATTTTGAGAAAGAGGTTATTTGTGATTTATTAATATATTATAAGAATAATATATTAATTGAAAAATCATATTATTTAATTAGTATTGATCAATAATTAATTTGAAATTTATTTAGTGATCAAAAGAGACTAATAAAATTTGTAGGGACTGATTTATGTAAATCAGTGATATTTATAGTTTGGGCTAATGATCCATGTTGATTAGGATTGGACTAAATCTTTGTGAGAGTCCATAAAGAGTTAGTCCATAAGGCTAATAAGTTATTGGATTGAAAGCCCAAGTGAATTAGGGTTTACAAGTTGAAACCCTAGGAATTCCAAACTATAAATTAAACCCCTAAGCTTGCAAAATTGGCCTCTAGATTCCTATGGTTAAACCCTAGCCGATTTTGAGCTCCTAGCCTCCCTCTCATTATTCTCCACTTGTTCATGGTGTTTGTGACTTGTTTGAGGCATCACACTTGGGGTGCTAAGCTCTTAAAGGCCAAGTTCTACAAGGTACAACAAAGAGGCAATCTTCCAACTAGTTTTATGTTGTATATCTTCATTTGTATGCTAGTTATAGGTTTCATGCTTTGGATGATTTTGTTGCATGTATAATTAGAGAAAACTTAGATCCAAGGCATTAGGGTTGTATGTGCACCATAGGATGTTATAGTACATAAAACCTAACATTTTCCACTTCTAGACATGTTACCTTGTTATGTCCCACTTGTTTATACACACTACACAATATTGTTTTCCCTACCTCTAATGCAGCGTGTATTGCAATCCTTTCACTTGCATTCTTTCTTCTGTTGATTGTAGGTATATTTGGCATTCTTCTCTTCCTTGGTGGCAATGGTGGTATGAACTCAATATTTGGCCGCACGTTGCTACCATTCATCCCATGCAGTGGAAACTGGTAAGTATTCTTGTAAAAGGCTCCATAGTACATTGGATCCATATATGTACCGACATCTCTATTCAGGTAAGAGATTGGTGTAACTAAATGCACACATCTATGGCCATTAAGTTACCATAATCTACAAGTACACTCATTTTTTTCTCGATCGACAACATAGGCATCTGCCAGGTTTCTTGTTTCAATCTGGTTAAGCCCACTTAGTGAAAGCCTGCCAATACCTAATCATATTGTATTTAAGTTAGTTTGTACTTACAATAAAGATTGCGAAAGTATAGTAAATACCTTTCAACTTTTTGCAACTCATTTAGTAGTAGTGTAATTGTTGGACAAGGTTTATAATCAGGCAGTGAACTACCCTTGATGTTTAAATTGAATAGTCTACCTATTAAATACAATCTAATTTCCTCTAACATTGTGATGATTGGATTTTCCTTGCATCCCTAATAACATTAGTAAATCTCTTGGTTAATCCGTTTTCAACAACATCGCACATCTGTCCTCTTGAAAGAATGCTCTACTCTATGATTTGGGGTTCTTATCCATAAGGTATGTAAATGTTGTAAGATTAAGTAGTTGGATTTCCTTTATGGCTGTGTTGAATAAAGGCTCAATGGAAACCTTTCTCGCCTTCCAAAAGATCTTCTCATAGTGTACCCTAGTGGATCTTTTCCTAAAGTTTGTAAGAATATGCCTTGCACAATGTCTATGTTCAGCAGTAGGCGATATTTCTTTGATAGCCTCTAGTAGCCACCACACAAAAATTATAATATGTTAATAAAAAATGTAGCTACTACACATTTAATTGGAAAGTAAGTCACATACCTTATGGTGATCTAACATCAAAGTAACACCAAAACCATTTGCCACTACTAGGTCTTCTTTAAGATTCTCCAAAAACCATTTTCAGATTTTCTTTGTTTTCTACACAGACAATTGCCCATGAAATTGGGAAAATTTTATTATTATCATCCCTTCTTACAACACATATCAACTCTCCATTGCATAAACCATTTAACATACAAACTTCGATGTTTAGTACTCTTCTACGACACCCTCTTTAACCTTGCTTTAGCCCTTCAAAACATATGTAAACCTTGCTAAAATAAGTCTTACCATCTGATATAGAGTTGACATCCATTTTGACAGTTGACCCTGCATTGATCTTCTTATCTCCTCACCGTATGACCAAAGCCTTGCGTAATTTTCCATAAGCGTTCCTTCAGTTAGTTGAATTACATGTTTCTTTGATCTCCTATACTGTCCCATACTCACATCAATACCAAAATTCTATTTAACCTCTTCCATAAGTACCCTAACACTTATTTTTTGTTTATATAAGAATTGTTTAGTGTAATGGGATAATGTCACTGTAGCGCATGAAACTTTTTACATTTGGCTAATTTGATCCTTCAAGTTTTTTTGGGTACATTAGACCACTAAACCCGTATATGACCTATTAATTTAGTCATTTTATCTACTTTTAAACAGTTTCCCGGTTGACATTTTATATATGTCAATTAATATATATATTTTTGGCTAATCCGATGCCACGTGAGATATGCCACGTCAATTAATGATATACGAAGCTTAAAGCCTTTTGTCTTCAGCTATCGAACTTCACTCGTCTTCATTATTCAGCTGTAAAAGAAACTGATTTAGGGTTTGTGAAGCATTCATGTGATCGACCTGAAGAAACAAAGAAGTTGCAGCAATGGCAGAATCGGAACCTAATGGAGTGTTTACGATGGTGGAACTCAACTACCAAGGGGTATTTAATCGAAATCCTTTCTATTATACTGGCGGTGTTAAAACCATCTTTAATGATGTTGACTTTTCTTATATGACTTATTTTGAGTTTGTGACCTTCTGCGAATGTTTCATGCATGAAGAGTGTAAAAAATTTTACTACTATGAACCAAGCAATTCCCTGATGGAAGGGCTTAATCCCATTTCAGATGATGTGGAATATGCTGCTTTTATTTTTGATGCTTATGGAATAGATGGTGTAATTTCGGTTTATGTGGATCATATTGGGGTTGGTGTTGATGGGTGGCTTGATGATGAAGATAATGATGATGATGAAAATAAGTCTTGTATTGATGGTGAAAATGAAGATAACATAGATGAACTTAGGAATGTTGCCTTTGAAATTAATGAGGATGTAGTGCATATGAATAGGACATCAAATGATCTTTTCATAAGTAAGTTATGTGTTGATGATGAGGAGGATAACAACATTGTAGATGATGATAATGGGAGAGAAGTTGAACTTAACATTCAAACTCATTCCATATTTAATGAGCTATTACACTGGAAAAAACAAAAACCAATTCTAGGGATGAGATTTAAGGGTCCAGGGAAAGTAAAATCAATGTTGTGCAACTATGTTGTAGCTAATGGATATCAATTGTGTTTTGAAAAAAATGATAGGAAAAGATTTTTGGTGAGGTGTAGCAAGGGTGCTTACACATTTAGATTATGGGCTTCTTGGATGAGTGATGAAGAGAGTTTCCAAATCAAGTCACTAAAAGCTGATCATAATTGTGCTAGGAACTTCAAGTTTGGATCATTGGTGACATATGCATGGATTGGGAGTCACTATACCAAAGAGATTGTGCAAAGTCAGAAAATAAGTGTAAGGAAGCCTAGGCTAAAGGTAATGGCCAAGTTTGGTATCCAAGTTAGTATGGGGCAATGTAGAAGAGCAAAGAAGTATGCACTGAATCTTGTTGAAGGTAGCCTTGTTGAACATTATGGTAAGCTATTGTAACATCCCGAAATTCAGGTACAACTATTTAACCCTCCTCTTTTGTCAAGTTGTCAAGATTAGTCCCTGAGTGGGAAAAGTTGCAAATGAGTACGCCGGGCATACTGGAGAGTACGCTGCGCGTACTCATGCGCTTGAAATGGACGCGGGCCCTTTAAGGTACGCTGGGCGTACCAAAGTTACGCTGGATCGGAAGATCCTATAGAGTTATGGCCTGGAAAGGCGTATGTGTGGTATGTGGTATTTTGGGGAACTCACTAAGCATTTATGCTTACAGTTGTTATGATATGTGTTTCAGGTACTAGCGAGGATCGCGGGAAGGCGCCGGCATGATTCGTACACACTTACGGAGTTTATGTTATTGAGATTCCGGGACATGTTAGTGAATACATTATGTTTTATGATTATCGTGTGATTGAAAGTATGATTAAAAGTATGAAAAATTGTTTTGAAAAATTACGTCGTTACAAGTTGGTATCAGAGCCTTGGTTTGAGGGATTCGGGTGCATCTTCGGATGAATCTGAACTCAAACTGAGGAATTGAGAAATTTTTTCATAAAATAAACAATTTTTCTAAAAGAGTAAAAGATTTTGAGAAAGGCAGAAGGAAGCAGTGTGTACGATCAGCCAGCGCCTGAACGATGATTTCCCAAAATACCCTTACATTATGTGTTATGAGATATGTTATGATATGATATGCATGCTAGAGTAGGCTAGGTATTCATATTAGGACTAGAGTGGCCTGATTTGTGATGCCTTAGCCTAGGAAGGATTTTGCTGCTATGTGATGCTTGAGAGCGAGTAGGTAGCAGTGAGGAGATGAAGAGAGGTCTACCGAAGGGTAGCCTATGCCAGTAAGATATAGAGTACTTGTGATCTAGGATCCAAGGAGGAGGACTTAGGGTGAATATTAATGCGGTGTGGACGGTAGTATAGGGCCCGTACTACTGAAGACACGGAGCAGTGCACACTCTAAGTAAGAATCCTTTGGGTACTAGAGAACAAGTAGGGTTGAGTGATCGAGTGCAAGTATGCTCGAGCGAGTCTCTGATATTATTATGTTGTATTTGAGAGAAATCATGGTTGGGACACGTCACAGACCTGAGCCAAGTGGCGTGAGTGACGAGGAGCTTCGTCAGATGATCCACGATGAGGTGGCAGCGGCGATTCGAGCCGAGATTCCGGAGATGTTGGGTCTATCAAGACCACATTGATTGAGACTTTTGATGAGCGGTATGCAGCGGTGACTGAGGCTGCGGCTGCTGCAGCTACTGCAGCAGTGGCTGCTGCCAGACCTCAGGGAGGTGACTCGTTGTTGCTTCGAGAGTCAGCAACACGGAGCCACCAGAGTTTGATGGGACGCAGGATCCGATCGCTGCGATGAGATAGATTGCTGATATCGAGGGATGCTTCTACACGTGTTCATGTCCGGAGCATCTGAGGGTACAGTTCGCGTTGAACCAGCTTCGCTTGGGAGCGAAGGATTAGTGGAAGTACGTGACGGCGAGCTTCACTCTTGCAGAGATTTCAGTGGTGACCCGAGAGAGGTTCACCATCATGTTTAGAGATGAGTATGTTCCCACTGTGGAGAGGGAACGGTTGGTTCAGGAGTTCTTGACCCTCAAGCAGGGTACTGATTCGGTTACTGTGGTTACCAGGAAGTTTCATGAGAGGGCGATGTTCTGCCCTGAGCAGGTGTCTACTGAGCAGGAACGCATGAGCCGATATTTGGGCGATTTGAGGAGGGATATACGGAAGTTCGTGTCGAACTCGACTTATCGGACATTTGCTGAGCTTCAGGCAAATGCCCGGAAGAGGGAGATTGAATTGGAGACTCAGGCCAGGGAGGAGGCCGAGTCTCAAAGGATGGATCGGCGGCCGGCACAGTCTCAGCCGGCAGCCAAGCGGGCTAAGTCCACGGATACGAGATCTGGAGGCCAGAAGGGCCGCACTTGTGTGAAGTGCGGCAAGGGACATGATGGGGTCTGTCGATCGGGTGCTTGCTACAAGTGTGGCAAGGAAGGGCATATCACCAAGGATTGCCCCAAGGGATTTATGATTTGCTTTCATTGCAACCAGACTGGCCATCGAAAGGCCGAGTGCCCGCAGCTACATCAGGAATCAGCACAGGGATCTGCACCTGCTGCTAGGGTTACCGAGGTTCGGCCAGCGAAGGCCGAGGCACCAAAGGCTCGTGGGAGAGCTTTCCAGTTGACAGCGGAGGAGGTCCGCGCAGCGCCCGATGTTGTGGCTGGTATGTATTCTTTATTGATTTATGATGGGATGAGATATGGTGCTATGCATAAGTACTTTTCTTGTGAGTTTTGTACCTGCCTTAGTGTTATATGATAGCGTTTAGTCGACACATCAGTAGCCGACGAGAGGCGTTGAGACGACCTTTACGAGTTTCCTTAGCTGACGAGCGAGCGGTGTACGCTACGGATGTGATTCGAGGATGTGTACTCGAGATCTTCGGCGTTGAGTTCCCGATAGATCTGGTCCCGATAGCGATGGGGGACGTATGTGTCATAGTGGGCATGGATTGGTTGAGCCGATTTGGGGCTGTCATAGACTGCGGGCGACAGTTGGTGACGATACGAGACCCCAGTGGGGGAGTACTTATGGTGTACGGCGAGGGTACCCGATGTGGGTCGGCGTTTTTTTCTGCCGCCAGAGCGAGACAGAGTTTGCAGCAGGGCTGCAGCGGGTTTGTAGCCTATGTGATGGACACACGAGAGGCCGCTGGGAGGCCAAGTTCGATGGATGACATTCCGATAGTGCGTGACTTCCCGGATGTTTTTCCCGAGGAGTTGTCGGGCGTGCCTCCCGAGAGGCAGGTAGAGTTCCACATTGATTTGGTTCCGGGGGCAGCGCCTATCGCCAAGGAACCTAATCGCCTTGCGCCGCCAGAGACGCAGGAGTTATCCTCGCAGCTTCAGGAGGTGCTGGGGAAGGGTGTTTTGTAATGGCGATTCCAGTTAGAGGTTGTTGTGATGCTACGGGAATCCGTAGTACTCACTAGTCAGAGGTTGTTATGATGCTACAGGAAGCCGTAGTACTCACTAGTCAGAGGTTGTTGTGATGCTACGGGAAGCCGTAATACTCACTAGTCAGAGGTTGTTGTGATGCTACGGGAAGCCGTAGTACTCACTAGTCAGAGGTTGTTGTGATGCTACGGGAAGTCGTAGTACTCACTAGTCAGAGGTTGTTGTGATGCTACGGGAAGCCGTAGTACTCACTAGTCAGAGGTTGTTGTGATGCTACGGGAAGCCGTAGTACTCACTAGTCAGAGGTTGTTGTGATGCTACGGGAAGCTGTAGTACTCACTAGTCAGAGGTTGTTGTGATGCTACGGGAAGCCATAGTACTCACTAGTCAGAGGTTGTTGTGATGCTACGGGAAGCCGTAGTACTCACTAGTCAGAGGTTGTTGTGATGCTACGGGAAGCCGTAGTACTCACTAGTCAGTGGTTGTTGTGATGCTACGGGAAGCCGTAGTACTCACTAGTCAGAGGTTGTTGTGATGCTACGGGAAACCGTAGTACTCACTAGTCATAGGTTGTTGTGATGCTACGGGAAGTCGTAGTACTTACTAGTCAGAGGTTGTTGTGATGCTACGGGAAGCTGTAGTACTCACTGGTCAGAGGTTGTTGTGATGCTAGAGGTTGTTATGATGCTACGGGAAGCCGTAGTACTAGCTAGTCAGAGGTTGTGGTGATACCGCGGGAAGCCGTAGTACTCACCAGTCAATGAGAAGTTGATGTGATGCTACGGGGGAAACGTAGTTCATGCTAGTCAGCGAGAAGTTGTCATTATAAAGTACTCTTTGATCAGAGCATGGTGTAGAAGAGTTTTAGGCATGGGATGGCCTTAATTTACGAGGTTTTAGGCACCTGGTGGTTGGACCAGGGGCGAGACCGGGGTCTCCTCAATGATAGGGAGTCATTATGGTCGAAGTGAGGTGTGGTCATCACAATCCGAAAGAATGGGATAAGTGAGGTACGCATAGGTTACGAGAAATGAGTTCTGAGTTGAGTGCTTCGTTGGGACAAGTGGTTCCAACTCTTGAACGGACCAAACTCTCGAGTTGAGTTTGGCTCTGGTGGTGCGTTGGATAGGCGAGATGAGATTCTGGATTCTGAGGTGGGTTCCATGTTGAGGAATATTGTTGTCATATGATGTCTTAGACCTGTATTGGTCAGTACTCAGGTATGGGTGGTACCGCAAGTTGCATGGAACGATGGGTATCAGATGATAGAGGTCGGGGTTGAGTCGATCTCCTGTTGGGAAGGTAGCATTCGCTTAGGGTTAAGCGAACTTCGTGACTTGAGTGTCACTGGGACGAGGTAGTTGTTGTATGGGAGGAGGTGTCGGACTCCCGTTTGTTGGGGAGAGGTAGGGCAGCGCGTGACGGGTAGCACTGAGATAGTGCTTCAGACGACAGAGCAGATACAGCAGGTTAGACAGAGGTTACTGACGGCTCAGAGTCGTCAAAAGAGTTATGCGGATCGGCGACGATCCGAGCTGAAGTTCCAGGTGGGGGATTTCGTACTCCTGAAAGTGTCCCCTTGGAAAGGAGTGATCTGATTCAGGAAGAGGGGCAAGCTGGGGCCCCGGTACATCGGTCCGTTCAGGGTGACCGTGAGGGTGGGCAAGGTAGCATATCGGTTGGAGCTACCTGCAGAGTTGAGCCAGATTCACGATACCTTCCACGTGTCTCAGTTGAGGAAGTGTATAGCCGACGACTCGGCGGTGGTACCACTAGAGGATATTCAGGTGGATGCGAGCCTGGATTATGCTGAGAGGCCAATCGCGATTGTGGATCGAAAGATCAAGGTTCTGAGGAACAAGGAGGTGCCCCTGGTTCAGGTTCAGTAGCAACATCGGAGGGGGTCTGAGCTGACTTGGGAAACAGAGTCAGAGATGCGGGAGCAGCATCCGGAGTTGTTTACAGCATGAGACTTCGAGGGCGAAGTCTAGTTCTAGTGGGGGAGAATTGTAACATCCCGAAATTCAGGTACAACTATTTAACCCTCCTCTTTTGTCAAGTTGTCAAGATTAGTACCTGAGTGGGAAAAGTTGCAAATGAGTACGTCGGGCGTACTGGAGAGTACGCTGCGCGTACTCATGCGCTTGAAATGGATGCGGACCCTTTAAGGTACGCTGGGCGTAACTGGTCCAGATGCAAACCCTAAATGAGACTTGTGCACTATATAAGGAATGATATGGCCTTATCCTCAGCCACCATTTCGAAGAGAGAAACCCTAAGAGAGCATTTCCTTCGTCCTAAAGCTTGTGTGTGAGGGTTTTGAGCTAAAAGTGCCTTTATGTGTTAGTGAAGAAGAAGAGGAGGTTCTTGTGAAGGCTAGAAGTTGGAGTACAAGCTTGGATCTGAGTTCTTCAGAGGAAGGAGCTTCACTTAGAGGTAAAAAGCTCATAACTTTCCTCTTTATTTTGGTTTGGTGATTCATGGTCCATTTCTAGGGTTAAAGTCCCAAAGGTGGAGACTTTATGAGCACAAGGGACTCCACGGACCTAGATCTGTCCCGTTTCAGTGATATATGTGTTGTAGATCCATAAAAATCCCAACTTGGTCGTCATTAGGGAGTCATGTTTGAGTTATGGGGTTTAAAGTGTTGGAAGTGGAATGATTTGGGTGTTGGTGACTCTTACAGCCATGCAAAGGCTTAAAGTCACCAACTTTATGGATTAAGAGGCTAAGGGGTAGTCAGATCTGAAAGTTGGACGTGTGTCTTAACTGTTTAAGACCCCAAAAGCTAAGGAGTCTGAAACTGGGAGTTACGCTGGGCGTAATCCTAGTACGCGCGACGTAGGGGGTCGCGTTCCCCCTTTCTGTGAGGTCGTCGGGTACGCCCAACGTACAGGTTCGGTACGCACAGCATAACCCGGAGAGTTGACTTTTGTTGACTTTTAGGGTTTGGTCAAACAATTGGACTTTTGGGACCGTTGAGGGGTAAAATGGTCTTTTAGCCTTCTGAGAGTGCTAAGAGAGGGAACAGTCTAGCCTTGAGAGTTGTATTGATTAGAGTGCTTATTCCATGTGATTAGGCGGAGGCTAGAGCAGATTTTACCGAGTTCGAGATTACCGAGTTACCCGAGGTGAGTCTTCTCACTATACTGTACCTGGAAGGGTACCTATGTGTGACCGGAAGGTCTTGTATGCTATGATGTATGTGCTATACGCGGTTATGTGATATGGGTGACCGGAAGGTCTTGTATGCTATGATGTATGTGCTATACGCGGTTATGTGATATGGGTGACCGGAAGGTCTTGTATGCTATGAGATGTATGTGCTATATGCAGTTATGTGATATGTATGTGCTATGTATGTTATGTATGGTATGGACCGGAAGGTCAAGATGACATGGACCGGAAGGTCAAGATGATATGGACCGGAAGGTCAAGAGGGTACGGACCGGAAGGTCGATACGGGTAGGACCGGAAGGTCTACCGGGATTTGGGACGGAAGTGCCTGAGACACATGGATCGGAAGATCCTACAGAGTTATGGCCTGGAAAGGCGTATGTGTGGTATGTGGTATTTTGGGGAACTCACTAAGCATTTATGCTTACAGTTGTTATGATAGGTGTTTCAGGTACTAGCGAGGATCGCGGGAAGGCGCCGACATGATTCGTACACACTTACGAAGTTTATGTTATTGAGATTCTGGGACATGTTTTGTTATGACACAGTGAATACATTATGTTTTATGATTATCGTGTGATTGAAAGTATGATTAAAAAAATGAAAAATTGTTTTGAAAAATTACGTCGTTACAGCTATGGTCATATGGTCATGATATTTTAAGGACAAATCCTGGGTCAACTGTAAAACTAGATGTGGAGGATGGTCCAGATGGAAAGAAATATTTTAGCAAGTTCTATTGTTGTTTTCAAGGAGTTAAACAAGGTTGGATTGAAGGGTGTAGAAGGATAATAGGTCTTGATGGATGTTTTCTTAAAGGTGTTTGTAAGGGGGAATTGTTTTGTGCTATTGGGAGGGATGCAAATGACAAGATATATCCTATTGCTTGGGCAGTGGTTATTGTGAAGAACAAGCAGAATTGGAAGTGGTTTTTAGAGCTTCTCATTGATGATCTAAACTTGAATTTAGGCAATGGTTTCAGTTTAATGTCAGACCAACATAAGGTTAGTATTTTACATAGTAATTCATTTATATTTATTTTATACTATCTGATTTAAACCTTTGTATTAATACAGGGTTTAATAGAGTCTGGTAAAGAGTTGCTTCCATATGTAGAGCACAGGCAGTGTGCTAGACTTATTTGCCAGTATTTGCAGAAGAGATTCACTGGTTCCATATATCATATCTTGTTTTGGAAGTCATCTAAAGCCACAACTGAGCATGCTTTTAAAGTTGTGATGAAGGAAATTGATACATTGAACCCAAATGCCCATCAATATCTCATGGAGAAAGATCCTAAAACATGGTCAAGAGCTTTCTTTCAAGCTGGAAGGTGTTGTGATGCAGTTGAAAATGGCTTCTTAGAAATTTTTAATGCTGTAATAGTAGATGCCAAGAAGAAGCCCATAATAACCATGTTAGAGGAGTTAAGATTATACATGATGGACCGAATCTACAACATGAAATTAAAGGGACAACAATGGGGAAATCATATTTGTCCCGAGATAATGGATAAGGTGAATTTTCTTAAAGAAATTCAAAGGCATTATCAGGTACTACCTAGTGGATTAAACCATTTTGAGGTAAGGGGAGCAACAGATGCATATGAGGTGGACTTAGAAAGGAAAATATGTTCATGTAGGTTGTGGCAATTGAATGGATATGGATGTGCTCATTCTGTAGCTAGCATATCTTTTCTTAATAGGGATGTAGAAGCCTATGTAAACAACATGTTTAGCACAACCACAATTAGGAAGGCATACAATTACAGAATTGCCCCCATGAATAGCAGTGACATGTGGCCAGAGACAAATTATACTCCACCATTGCCTCTTATTAGTAAAAGGATGCCTGGTAGGCCAGCTACTAAGAGGAAGAAATTTACTACAGAGAATACAGGAACACACAGGGTTTCTAAGGCTGGAAAGAAAATCAGATGTAGTATTTGCAAGGAGATAGGTCACAACAAGGATACTTGTCCACAGAAAAGACCCCAAAAGTTAAATATGAAGAAACAGAAGAAACAAAAAGTTTGTGTGAAGCAAAATGCAGGACAGTTAAAACCATTTAAAATTTAAATTTATTTACATATGATTTGTCACTAACATAATTATATCATGCCATATAGGGTAGTACAAGTGAACCACAACAACATGAAGAGGTTGAAATGACTCCAATTGAGATGTATACTACTCAAAATGATATGCAAGTTACTCCTACTGATGTTGAATCTAGTGGTGTGGGGGATTTTAGTCAGTCTATGCAATTTACTCCACCAAGAAGTTATGAAGGTGATGAGGGTGAGGAAGTTGAGGAGGGTGGTAATGTTCAAGATGATGAGGTTAATCCTAATGTCCAAGTTGTTGATAATGTTCAAATTCAAGAGGTTGTTCCTGTTATCCAGGTTCAGCAAGTAAGGGTTAGGCCAATTTCATAGATTTTGAAGAGGACAAGGAGAAGAAAGTCAGAGAGAATTTTGAAGCTGAAATTAGGCAAAACAATTGGTGGTGTTGATGATCCATGAAATTCTAAGGCAAAAGCGCTTGTAATTGATTAGTGTTGATTTTTACTTTGTGTTATTTGGATTTAAAGTATGTGTGTTAGGATGATGGTAATTTGGATTTAAAGTTTATGTATTAGGATGATGGTAATTTGGATTTAAATTTTATGTATTAGGATGATGGTAATTTACATTTATGTATGGATGGTGCCTTTTTAAGTTCACTCATGACACAAAAGGGTATTTTGGTCATTTTTGTATGGATGGTGCCTTTTTAAGTTCACTCTTGACATAAAAGGGTATTTTTGTCATTTATGTATGGATGGTGCCTTTTTAAGTTCACTTTTGACATAAAAGGGTATTTTGGTCATTTATGTATGGATGGTGCCTTTTTAAGTTAACTCATGACAGAAAAGGGTATTTTGGTAAGTAATGGATATATGTTGCCTTTTTAATGAAATTGTTGACATGAAATGATATTTTACTCACTTATGAAAGTATGTTGCCTTTTTAAGTAAACTCATGACATATGGCTTTGAATATTTCTGCATGGAAAAATTTGGAATAATGTGCATGCATGTGAATGTTTTATATGGTCTCGGATATGGTTCTATAATGGGTTCAAAGGTCCCATTTTTCCATTATAAAAACACCCACTGACTACTAATTACAAATGGTCCCCATACATATAGTGTACTTCCACATAGACCACTTTTCTAATTTGTTCCCAAAATGAAAACATGCACAACAACCAATTTAATTAAATATAATTTTTGGGAATATAGGCCATGCATATGTTGCAATAACATCAACATCCGATTATACAAAATGCCCTACAATTGGGACTTTGAATAATTTTTTTTACATTTGTTATCATATGCCCTTTCATTAGGGACTTACCACCTTACAACATCAACACATCAAGGTTGATAGCCCCAACTTGTAACTAAAAGCAGCTTCAAAACATACAAAATGCCCATCATTACTGACTTTCTAGTCTGCCTTTACAAAAAATACAATGGATCCCAAAAAACAAAAGCTTACGCCAACCAACCTAACTAAGTACAATCACCCCCTAACTTCAAAACACAAATGACCAAGCAAGCAAACAACAAGGCAACTATCATCCTGTACCTGCCTATTGCCTTCCTTGAATCATAAACTTCTTTCTCACTCTTTGCCACCTTATACTACTCCTGTAACAACAGAAACTCCACTTCAGCAATCCTTCTCCTCAAATTGTTCATCTCAGACAGATCCTCTTTAGCATCCATTTTCTGCTTCAGAGAATATAGAAGGTTTTTGTAGTACCCTTCTGCTTGTTCTTCATCTTTCCATTCAAAGATGCTACATTTCTTCAACCTAGTCTAAAAAAAGCCAATAAAATTAGGGTTTGATTCACAATCACAAATCAACTACCTTTAATGTACTAACGAAATGGGTTTGATTCACAATCACAAATCATCGTCAAGAAGCAAATAAAATTAGGGTTTTTTTAAGCAAACAAAATACAAATCCACCATGATCGTCTTTACAGGAAGAAACAACACAGCAAACCCTAAAATAGTAAGTTATCAAGATCAGGAGAATCGGGACCTATCATACTATTTTGACAATTCCAGAAATACCTCCCACGGTTTGTTATCTTCCAACACGTTCGTTCTTTAGCTAGAACACCACAATCACAAATCTTTACCCCTTCTCGCGACTGAACATGAGTCACTTGTAGCTGATTCCTTGAGGTGTATGAGCTCGAAGACATTGTTCTTCGGGACGGAAATAGTCGGGTGGAAGTCTTTGAATTTTCAGAAAAGGGTAAGTAACACTTTAATGGAGGCCCGATTGAGGGTTTCAATTAATAATCCTAGTTCAACAAGTTTACTTCTTTGACACATAAGCATCCCACGTCAGCTTATTGGACACATCAGCGTGCCACATAAGCATTATAACCGGTAAATTGAAATTTATAGCATAATTATGCTTATTTATGAGAGACTTAATCTGGAAAGATTGTTCTTCACTAATCCATGAATCACACGGTCTAAACTTACACTGGCCAGAACAACATTTAACTAAAAGTCTCCTAGTATCATTTTTTGTAGCATAATTTATAACCATTAGCAATAACATAATTACACAAAATATGTTTTAACTGTTTAGAACTTTCAAATCTCATACCTAAAATAAACTTCTGCTTTTTCCAGTGAACATGTTTATTATAAGTTTGTACATCCTCAAGTATTGCCTCATTATCATTCATCTGAACATATGGCTCCTCATGAGGTATATATGGGGTTGGCTGCACCTCGAGACAGAGGGGCCATTTTTGAAACTATATGACATTTTAATAAAAGACAAACATATTAATAAAAAGGTAAGGGTAATAAGGTAATTTTAATGTATTTAACAGCCTCTGTAGTTAGAGTTAACGACTAAGGGACGATCTGTGTAATATCGAAATAACGCAAGGACCGAGTTTGTCCATTTTTTTGAAGTTGGACTATATGAGCCTATTATACCATACCATAGGGACCATTTTTGTAATTTTCTCTTTTTTATAATTATAATTATAATCAAATATCAAATACTAAATCATTATATCATCATATCATATCATCATATCATATCATATCATACTATATTATAAAGGAAGCATTTTTCCTTTCACCACATTCATTTGAAACTCCCATGCATTTTTTCCTGTCACCACATTCATTTGAAACTCCCATGACTTTTCAATTTCTTTCTAATAATAATTATAAGTTGGTTAATAAGGTTAAATAAATATCAAACCTAAAGTGTAATCATATATAAACTAAATTTTAATATTAAAATAATATATTTACTTCTACTTATAAAGTTATGTTTTCTAACATTTAACATATTATACTTAATTTATTAGTTTTAATATATTGTTGGATGTAAACCATTATCATTTTAAAGATACAATTTTGGAACAATTTGTATAAAATATTTAAATTATTAATTTGAATATAACATTACAGGGTCAAATAAAATATAAATTTTAGTTTAACTTAAACAACCCAAAGAATATTTTGTAAATAGTTAAAAGTGACTAAGTGTAGTGTCTTTCTAATAATGATTATAAGTTGGTTGATAATGTTAAATCAATATTAAACCTAAAGTGTAATCATAAATATACTAAATTTTAATTTTAAAATAATATCTTTACTTCTACTTATAAAGTTATATCTTTAACTTTTAACATATTATACTTAATTTATTAGATTTAATATGTTGTTGTATGTAAACCATTATCAGTTTAAAGCCACAATTTTTTAACAGTTTGGACAAAATACTTAAATTGTTAATTTAAATATAACATTACAATTTCAACTTAAATATAAATTTCAGTTCCACTTAAAAAAACCAAATAATATTTTATAAATAGTTAAAAGTGATAAATTGTAGTGATAAATGCAAAAACTAATTTGTAATCTCAATTTAACTAAAATATTTCCTAAATATATTTTTATAATTGTTAAAAGTTTTCAAATAAGTAGCATAAAATAATTTACAATAACAATAGTTAAAAATAGCTCTATATAAATGATTATATAGTTACCTTTAATATCAAAAAAACAATGTTTGATGTTTTAAATAATTATAATGATAGAAATTAATACATTAAGTAAATAAATTTTAAAAAATTAATTAACAATAACAACAACTATAAATAACATTAAACCATATGTTATATTTAATTTTATTCATGTTTAACTCGTGTATAGAAGTCATTCAAACGATTGAGATTATGCAGTTATAATATATGTATATATTATTATATAATTCAAAATAATCAATATATTATATCAATTTAGTATCTATATCTATATCTATATCATCATATCATATCATACTATATTATAAAGGAAACATTTTTCATTTCACCACATTCATTTGAAACTCTCATGCATTTTTCCTTTCACCACATTCATTTGAAACTCCCATGACTTTTTAATTTCTTTCTAATAATAATTACAAGTTGGTTAATAAGGTTAAATAAACATCAAACCTAAAGTGTAATCATATATAAACTAAATTTTAATATTAAAATAATATATTTACTTCTACTTATAAAGTTATGTTTTCTAACATTTAACATATTATACTCAATTTATTAGTTTTAATATATTGTTGGATGTAAACCATTATCATTTTTAAAGATACAATTTTGGAACAATTTGTATAAAATACTTAAATTATTAATTTGAATATAACATTACAGGGTCAACTTAAATATAAGTTTTAGTTTAACTTAAACAACCCAAAGAATATTTTGTAAATAGTTAAATGTGATTAATTGAAGTGTCTTTCTAATAATGAAAATAATATATTTACTTCTACTTATAAAGTTATGTCTTTAACTTTTAACATATTATACTTAATTTATTAGATTTAATATATTGTTGTATATAAACCATTATCAGTTTAAAGCTACAACTTTTGAATAGTTTAGACAAAATACATAAACTGTTAATTTAAATATAACATTACAATGTCAACTTAAATATAAATTTCAGTTCCACTTAAAAAACCAAAGAATATTTGTAAAATAGTTAAAAGTGATAAATTGTAGTGATAAATGCAAAAACTAAATTGTAATATCAATTTATCTAAAATATTTCCTAAATATATTTTTATAATCGTTATAAGTTTTCAAATAAGTAGCTTAAAATAACTTACAATAACAATATTTAAAAATAACTCTATATAAATGATTATATAGTTACCTTTAAAATCAAAAAACAATGTTTGATGTTTTAAATAATTATAATGATAGAAATTAAAATATTAAGCAAATAAATTTTAAACAATTAATTAACAATAACAACAAGTATAAATAACATTAAACGATAGATTATAGGGAATTTTATTCATGTGGAATTGCGGGTAGAAGTCATTCATACGATTGCGATATGCAGTTATAATAAATGTATATATTATCATAATTCAAAATAATCAATATATTATTTCAATTTAGTATACAAATTATTATATCAAATTTAACAACAACGTTATTGTTATATTTAAAAAACAATATTTGTAAAGACTTCAACTATATAGGTGTTTCTTTTGAACAATATAGATAAAATACTTAAATTATTAATTTAAATATAACATTACAATGTCTACTTAAATATAAGTTTCAGTTCCATTTAAGAAACCAAAAAATATTTTGTAAATAATTAAAAGTGGTTAATTGTAGTGATAAATGCAAAAACTAAATTGTAATCTCAATTTAACTGAAATATTTCCTAAATATATTTTTATAGTCGTTAAAAGCTTTCAAATAAGTAGCTTAAATAACTTACAATAACAATAGTTAAAAATAACTATATATAAATGATTATATTGGTACGCTTAAAATCAAAAAATAATGTTTGATGTTTTAATAAATTATAATGATATAAATTAAAATATTAAGCAAATGCATTTTGAAAAATTAATTAACAATAACAATAACTATAAATAACAGTAAATCATATATTATATTTATTTTTATTCATGTGTAAATCGCGGTTAGAAGTCATTCAAACGATTGAGATTATGTAATTATAATAAATGTATATATTATCATATAATTCAAAATAATCAATATATTATATCAATTTAGTATACGAATTATTATATCATATTTAACAACAACGTTATTTTTATATTTAAAAAAAACATATATTTGTAAAGATTTCAACTATATATGTGTTTCTGCGCAACGCGCGGATATTCGCCTAATACGAATTATAAAGGAAACATTTTCTCTAGCATAAGATACATTTAAAACCTCCATGACCTTTCAGTTTCCAATGTAATATAATTAATTTATTAATTTAAAATATGTTATTAAATAAAAAATATTATCTTATTATTTATAGACTTTTAAAATGATGATTATTATTATATATTTGTTTGTTAGTTTAACGATTATGTTAAATCCAAAATATAAATCAAAATATTAAATAAACTTAAAAAACTTACCCCAAGTACAATTTTTCAAAATAGTTAAAAACGTTTAAATATTATAAATTTAGAACGACGAGTTAATATTGCTAAATGGTTTCAAAATTAATAAAAAATAATTATAAACAATAATAACATTAAATTATTATAAATTATATAAGAGTTTTATGCTGAAAAGAGTCATTATTTTGGGAAATTATTTGATAAAATACTTTTTTTAACAGAAAAGTCATGATTATTTAATATTTTGTCCAAATTAACGAAAAAATATTTATTTTTATTTTAACAGGAAATGTTAAATTATCGTGTAAAATTAAATAATCGAGACTTTTCTATTAAAAAATAGGACTTTATCAAAAGTTTCCCAAAATAATGGGTATTTTTTGCACAAAACTCATTATAAAACGTTACCTTTAAAAATGATTATATTTTAAATAAACATCATGATCGAAACTAAAATATTGTCTCATTAGTAAACTTTTAAATTAATCAATCATAACAATGGTTAGAAATAACATCAAATCTTAATGAACAATAATTATAAACAATAATAACATCAAATTATTATAAATTATATAGTTTTACCTTTAAAATAATTGTATTTTAAATAAAAACATGATTGAAACTAAAAGATGGTCACATAAGTAATATTTTAACTAATAGATCATAACAGTTGTTAAAAATAACCTTAAAGCGAGAATTATATTCAATTTTATATTTTTGTTTATGTGTAAATAGCAGACATTGGTCATTGAGTAATATTGTTCAAAATAGTTGAGA